TATGGTTTATCTTATGATTAGCTCACATCTGAGTCTCCTAACTTTAATTGAGGACTCTAGAAAAAATATATAAATGTTTGGCAGATTAGATGGAGAGCTGAAAACATTGATATCTCCTAACAAAAATTATTTTAATGCTCACAAATTTGTCACAATAATGAAAAATTTAGATGGCAGAGACATACAAATAAAAATAAATTTTAACTTAGTTTTTAAAAAAAGTGCAGCTTCTAATTATGTAATATTTATAGTATAACAAAAGTTTAGTTAAATTTTAAACAAAGTTCTTTTTATTTAAGGCAAAAAAATTAAGTTGATGGCACGCCAGATACCTTGTAGTAACTTATTTTAATGAATAAAAGTTTTAGATGTATTCTTTCACTGTGCAGCTTTTTAAATATTGCATTTAAGTAGCTAAGATTTTAAATGTGTAATGGTGGTGCGCAACTCAAATGAGATTATCAAGGGATTAAGTTTAGAGGAAACCCCCCCCCCACGCACCCAATCGTCACAGTTAATAATCATTACTCAATCGACTTTCCAATTGATTAACACTAACTGAACATACAGCCTATGACTAAAATTCACCAAGCAGATTCAAATCAGTCCTTCGTGGTGCTTACCAGCAAATCACACTCAACACAAATTTAATCTTTGTTACATAAGCATTTATGTACACTAAATACCATTGAGTCTGGTGCAGAATGTCCCTTATGTTATCCATGCAGTGACAGTTTCAGTCAAACATATGTACATTGGTAAAGTGAAATGCAGAATTTGGAAAGAAATATTCTATGAGCACATTCATGGAACACACAAAATTGACAGTCTTCAATTTACAATGCTAAATTAATCCAATCTTCTTCAAGATACATTATATCCACACAACAAAATAAAGTAAATTGTCATGGTTTATGTGTTTGGAAAGATTTTCCTTCACCTTGCAAAATAAAATTGTGTTTTTTCAGGTGCAAGTAAATATATTTGCAAACAATAGAATGTTCACTTCATCATAATGCTACAAAAGGTGCTGAGTGTGTTGAGTACACAAAAAAGTGTTTAATATGTGAACATGTTAAATTTCAAGGATATTGAGCTACCACTATGCACTTTCAAAGAACCATGAAACACAACCCTCTCCTTCCCCACGCTAAAACATGTTAACGTGACCATGCATTCCTATGATACAAATTTATATATATGCATGAATTTTCATCACGGTATTCGTTTCATTTTATTTCACCGATACCCAGTAATTTTTTTAGCCAATTTATATTTTGTGTGTGTTGTGTGCTTTGGAAGGGAGGGGACTTTTCATGAGGAACTAAACAAAAAATTTACTGTTGTGGGGCCATGACAGACTAACGTGGAATACTTCATAGCCACCTGGATTTCATTATCATAATTTTTATCATTAAGATTTGAAGCAAACTTATCAATTCTAGACAGACTAAATTGATGAATTTAAGGCTACTAAAGACACTTTTTTTTAAGGGATCATATTTAAAAACGAAAGTGACCACTTTAGCTTGGTTCTGATTTCTAGGGCATAAAGTTGAACTGACTCAAAAAAAAATGCCAACACTAGGCAACAATTTTTACCCCAAAAGGACCTGAAATATCTCGTATTTTTTTTTAAAAAAAGTTAATGGTAAAAACAACTTTTTAAAAGCCTGTTAATGTTATGTGATGAAAAAATATATTTGCATGAGCAGTAAGTCCAAAACTTAGTGAGTGATGATACATAAATCAACATTTTCTGAATTTTTCAACATGGGTGCACATGAAATTAATATTGTATTAGTTTATAAAAGTTGAAACCAGGTTGGTGGAAAGCCCAACTCATGGGCAAACTAAAACTCTCACATTTTTCCTCAACCCCCCAAAGGTTTAATTGAAGTGTTTGTAAGTAGAAGAAATGAATTGGTTTGATTAAGTGTCCAACTCCTTGGCAGTTTTTGAGCTGGGCAAACTCAAATTGTAAACCAAATATTAAATGAAGATAGGACCCACATCTACTTTATATCTAAATTATAATTTCAATCCTCACATCCACACCACTGGTGTTCAGGGTACAGTATCTATCACCCTCCACACAAATGGTGTTCAGGTTACAGTGACAATCCCCATCCACACAAATGGTGTTCAGTGTACAGTATCTATCACCCTCCACACCACTATTGTTCAGAGTACAGTATCTATCACCCTCCACACCACTATTGTTCAGAGTACAGTATCTATCACCCTCCACACCACTATTGTTCAGGGTACAGTATCTATCACCCTCCACACAAATGGTGTTCATGATACAGTGACAATCCCCATCAACACAAATGGTGTTCAGGGTACAGTATCTATCGCCCTCCACACCACTATTGTTCAGGGTACAGTATCTATCACCCTCCACACAAATGGTGTTCAGGTTACAGGATCTATCACCCTCCACACCAATGTTCCCTCTAAGGTTTGTTGGTTAGTGTGCAAAATCACAAATTTGTGTGCAAATTTTTACAGCATCAATTTTTTTGTGCGCAGCTTAAAGGGAACATTGCTCCACACCACTATTGTTCAGGGTACTGTATCTTTCACCCTCCACAAAAATTGTGTTCAGGGTATAGTGACAATCCCCATATACACCCCACCAGTGTTCAGTGCTGACTTTAGAAAAGATGGTGCACCAATCCTTACATCTCTCAGGTTATTCCTACTGGTAGGTAGTGTTTTTTGTGGGGAAAAATAAAAACGACACCTTATTTTTTCTACTATACACAAATAAATGTCCACAGACCACCAATGGTGCCTTTTTTCATTTGGTCCTAAAAATATAGATAGCTAGAACTGAAATTAAAGTTCATAAGGGGAGACCAATTTTTTGTCCTTACAAAATGATGGGGGTAACCTACAGGTTACAAAAATTGTAATTGTGAAAGAAATTTAGAAGTAACAGTTTAAGAAACTTTACACTGTTGCTATTGTTTCTTTGTTACCTTCTTTTCAACATCATTGTTGGGTTAAAACAACAAGTATTGTAAAAATATTTAGATGTGGGGTTAACAGTGAGCTTTTTTAGTGAGAAAAAAGGATACAGGATTTATTACTGGAATCATCAAGTGACTAGAGAAGGAAATAAACAAACATCTGCACTATTGATTGCAGTCAGTGTTTACATTAACTAATATCAGGACAATACAAATGAGTGTTTCAAAATAACTGCAATTGCCAATGAACATAACTTATTTTCCATCTTAAAATTTACAAAAACCACTCTAATTTTAAAACTCTCAGTTAATGATCTTTTCCATGTTGATAATTTTACTACTGTCAGATTATTTAAGATTTTTTTAAGTAGGCAGCAGTTAACATATCATATTTTCTGTTCACCATATTCAGCTCATATTGAAATTACTAAAAATCTAGACAATGCCACATATCCCAGTAGTAGCAAACAAAAATTCAATTTTTTTTCACTGTGACATACTTTTGCTTTCATTGTTAGTAAAATGCTCAAACAATAATAAAATTGCTTAAGGCCAACCAGGATTGTGGTTATCTAATAGGGATTTTCATCTGTTATTTGTTGAGGTTTTGCTGTTGCTACTGATTACAATTTTTACAATTATAAATTAGGACTATTTACACACAAAAAAAACACTTTAGCCTTGCTTCAAAATGAAATAAGACATTTAGTTGACAGCTCCAATGCTTTTGAATGAAAAAAAAGAAGAGACAGCTAATTCTTAAAAAGCTGAATTAATTTCATTCACAATAATAAAATGGAGTTATGTTCAGGTGGATACTTATTTGAGAACAAGAGCTAATATCTGGCTGAAGAAATATACATAAAAGTGATTTCAAAAGAATTTGTAAGTGTTTGAGAAATTAAAATATATCTTACATGTGTTCTAAAGTCATATAATGCCAAACGGTGCTCAGGTATTGATATTTAAAAATTTAATGACAAGTGCATAACACAATCCTCATCATTGTCACAGTTAAACAAGGAAGCATTCCAAAAAAATCACAACTGAAGAATAAACAGTATACAAAAAAACTATCTGTAAGATGAAAAAAATCAGAGGTATTTGATAGACCATGTGAGAGCTTTTTGATGAAGGTTTGCTTTTTAATTTATTTATAGTTTTAGTACTATTATTTTATTGGTGGAAAATGTTAGGTGTTTTATTGATTCTTTTGTAATGTACAGTTTTGCAAAAATGCATAGCACTGTAAAGTGTTATGACCTAATTTAATCTTTTAAATGCTCTAAAAATAACCCTACTTATAAGCTATTTAATTGAAAAGGTTACAAAAAAACTATTTATTTACTTTAACATCTTTTAGAAAAAAGGTGTGTCAGAGATTCTATAAAACAATGTGAATAATTGCTCAAAGCCGTGATGCATGCCTCTTTCCGTGTGAATATCAATGGTAAATTCATACTTTCAATTTAGTAATTTTCAATGAATTGGATTTTACTACGAGAACCATCTCAATTCTCCTCTTTAAAATGAAAAAAAAATATTAAAAGATCTTGCTGATTTTCATTAATTGGAATAAAGAATGAACTAACCCAATTAAAAAATACACCTCCATTTGAAGAGCATTTTAAGACTTAAAGAAATCAATCAGAACTTATTACTGTATTTATTGGCGTATAACACAGCCCCTCATATAACACGTACCTCAATTTAAGAAGGAAATTTCAGGAAAAAAACTAAACATTATATCGGCGTATAATACGCACATATGATTTGCCCCCTATTTTCGGGGAGAAAATAGTGCATGTTATACGCCAATAAATACGGTAATTATCTAGGCATAAGGTAATAGGGCACAGATGCAGTCTGATGGCACCATTGTTATAAAAATACATAATGAGCTTACACCAAAATAATAAACAACAAGCTCTGTGTATGTAGCCCATGATATTGATAGATGGCAAGTCCATCCAGCCACTTAAATAGGCTAGGGCCAATTTTTTATCAAATTTATTAATGCTGGAGCAGGAATACTCAAAAGGAATACAAGTTCAAATGGTGAGCTTCATTGCAGAAAAAAAAAAGTTTTGTAAAAATTTGGTTTTCAAACTCATTTTAATTAAAGTCGTATCACTCTTGAAACAAAATACTCATCAGTTTGCAGTGTTAAAGATAAAAGCTCACTATATTAAAGAAATAATGTAGACAACTGTCTTACAATTCTTAATAAGTGTTTTTGGGGTTGTTTTTTTTTTTGGTAGAGTGGTGCTAATATTTGTCCATTTATTTACCAGAATACATCTTTCTGAATGCAAAGTTTCCTTTTTATATTAACTGAAAAAGGTTTGTTTAAAGATTTTGGATAGATCAGTGAAATTTGTGCCCTGCAAATGTGCATAAGAGAGAGTAGCAATACACTCAATTTTTTATTAAAGAAACAAATTACTCTTTTAATTTTTATCCCTCAACGTTTCACAGAAAGAATGTGGGATGACTTCACAAAAAATATGTAACATAGCTAGAAGCCCCCATTGTGCAATTATTTTTGTAATCAATCTAATTTCAAGACTACTTATTGAAAGTGTGAGCTCATTTTCCAAGAAACAATTATTTTATGTTACAGATCAATAACAATAACAGAAGTACAAAATTTAAATTGGATACAATAACACTCAAGTGACTCCAAAGATTTGCAGAAACACGATGATTGATAAAATTGCAGTAACAATGATTGATAAAATTAATTTGAAAATGAAACAAGGTAAGATTGCCAAATTTCATACAGATAAAAAAATGTAACAGCTTAAATTATAATTATTTAAAAAACATTTAGCAAGTGCTTTATTTTAAATTTATTATATTTACTCTTTCCCATTCTCTTTTAATTTTGTGTCACATCTTATTTTATTAAATGAATTTTTTTATTTTACTTTAACAAATATTGATTTTTTTCATAGAACTTTTCAATTAGGATTTTTTAAAAGTCATTTGTTACTATTTGTTAGCTCGACAATTACTTTTAATTTGATTCTTTGATGTGAGAATATGTTGAATTCTCATAGTTTCTTTTACAGTTTTTGTCATTTTCTGTTATTTTTTACCATTATGAGGCTAATAGACATCAGCTGCTAAATACCCTCAGACAAGGTTGGTTTTGTATTACTTGGCTATGCATTACATTTTTTAAAAAACTCAAAATCAGCAAGTAGCAGGAAGCACCTCAAGCATCCCTTGCCATTGTTTTATCACTCGCAGGCATATAAAATAAATGTTGTGACATTGAGTTTTTTGCAAGAATTGAAGTCATAATTTATTCTAATGCAATTTGTTTATTTCAATTAATAGTTTATCTGAGTGTTGTCAGATTATGGCATACTATGAATTATAATTACATTGCTTTTTAACAAATCAATTTTTTGAACTTTAGCTAATTTCTCTTAAGAATAAAAATAAAGAAATGAACATACAATTCACAAACATCACATCATAATCAACCAAAAACAAACCATTTAGTTAGTTAATATAACAATTGACCAGATTCAGAGAGGGGGGCAAAGCTGGCTGCCCTAACTTCTAGGGCTGCTTAAAAAATCTCCCTACTTTGAAACAAACTATCACTAGAGGAAACTGTCCATTAAATGTCTTGGAAAATTATCAGGGTACAGTACATTAAGTTATTTCAATATCACAGCAGTGTTAGACACACTCTTCATAGCTAACTACCTTAGAATTCCAATGTTAAATTATTTTAAAATTTTAACATTATTCTTTGAAAAAAGACTAAAATTTCTTTAAATTTTCTGTTAAGAAATAAGGAGAACAGAATTTTGTCTTCATATTGATTTGATTTGAACAAGAAAAAAATATAAATATTGATAGTAGAATATTTTTAGAGTATAGACAAAATATTTTTAAGTGCTTCAAGTTAAAAAATTATTATTTCAGGCAAATATTTGTATTCAGACTTGTCAATGAAAGTAGGATTTCTCAAGAGAAAAAAATAACATTAATTTATAGATACAAGTCTTTCATACTTTGTTTGCACTTTATACCAAAGGTGTTTGCACTTTATACCAAAGGAGAAACATAACAAAAATTGAATACAAGTATTAGAAAACAGCAAGATTATTAAAAAATTACATATTCACCCAGTAATAGTGAAGATGTCCCTGTTTTTAAAAAATATATTTTAAAAAGACAGAAAATAGCTACATGATGCATATAATTGTAATTTCTTGTGAAAGGGAATTCAATCATTTCTAAAGAGCATGGAAACTCAATATCCTTAATTAGTGATAGTGTGATAGATTACTCTTTGATATGATCTGCACATTAACCCAGCATGTGTGGTTTATTCAATGTGTATCCATTGTGTATGGGGTGAATGAGAACAATGAGGTTCAATGAACATCACACTCACTGTCAACTGATATGATTGAGCACCATAAGATTAAAAGCATACAGAACTGCTGTGTTCAAATGACTACACTTATTTTAACATGTGCATAAGTCACTACTAATTTAATTTAAAAACATTCAGAATGCTATCAGAATACAGGTATGGTACATTTCAATTACTTACATTATTATGTGGCCATCAACAACCAGATTACAAACTGGATGTAATCATTAAGAAATACACAGTACCCCTCCCTCACTTCAAAGCTATATAACACTAGCAGGTAGCTTGTCAAAAACATCGTTCTTTCCCTGTTGCACACTGCCACGGCGCCGTGGTAATGTTGGGTGCTCAGGACATCCACTGGTAGTCAGGAGCTCTGTACACTCTGATGAACCTGAACTCCGAGCATACCAAAGAGCATTTCGGCCTTCATGATCCACAACTTTGACGTTGGCGTTGTACTGAAAAAGTTATAAAAAATGATACTGTTAAAGGGATAGATATTTGGTAAAAAATTTCAAACGTATCTTTTGATTTGAAAAAGTATTGAAAAGGGGATGTAGTGTAACAAGAACATGCCCATAATGTAACAAGAACATACCCATAATAACAGCTGGACAAAAACAACATTTCCCAGGGCTGCTGCAATATGAAGTGCCGTTCTCCCATCATCTTTACTGTATGGAGCATTGATATCTTCAGGCTCAGCATGGCCCAAGATAATGATGATATTTCTGATGTCCTCTCTCACAAGTGCATCTATGAGTTGCTGGAAAATAGAGACTTTTTTGGTGAAAAACCTTTTCAAAATAATCAAGCTAAAAAGTTGGGACTGTCGATTAAATGCTAATTTCAAAAGAGGGAAGCGTTAAAAATAAATTACAACCAATGTGCTAGCATTACAGACAAGACATGCAAAGAAAGGTGAATGGGTGCTATGTAATGCTTGCAATTAACTGATTTTTTTTTTTTATTCACTATTTATAATGATAATAAATTGAAGCAGTGGGCATATATTTGAATGAGCTTTACTTTTTGAATTAACTTTTTTGGAGGTAGAAATGAGAAAAAAATTTAAATGGATTTTTATTTTAAAAATTGAAAAGGAAAGAAACAGTCATTTAACTTTTGAAAACAATAATAACATTGACACTTGAGTTGAGACAAGTGATGTATAAATTCCCTAAATTTAGAATACAAGGAAAGATCTTAAATTAAACACACAGAATTTTGATAAGACAGAAATTTAGGTTAGTGGCAGTGGAATGCTGGTAAAACATTTGGGCAAAATGGTGCTATTTACATCTTTGGCTATAAAGCAAAATGTATGCAAAGATCATGGTTTTCCACATAAAGAAAAGTTTATTGATTGATTTTGCTTCTAACACTACCACAATCACACTTTTAATTTTTCAATACTTTACCTGGTTAACTGGAATATCTATATAAGGTAACGGGGGTAAAAATTCTTTAGCTTCATATTTTGCCCTTATCCATCTTTCTTTTTCATCTCTGGTATAGAAACAAAAATCAACTGAGTGTAAATAAAATTTCTTTAAAAGGAACATAGAATACAATATTGAATTAAATGTAAATGATAATCTGAATTAAAAAAAACAAATATTTAAATTATAGCGGGACATGCTTTGCCTCTGTATCTGGACTTATTAAAACTCCTTTGCATTCAAAAGATTATAAGTGCAGATGATAAAAATTTCAAAACGAATATCCCTTGGTGTGACAACCTTAAGTTTTAAATAAACTAATAAGTCAAGTGAAAATAAGAATCTACTGCAAGCGATTCAAAATGAAGATTTTATTTTGCGCAACTGTTATTTTAGCAATTTGTATAAATTCCCTTGTTTTGAAAATCTATATTTAACTGGGTGAAAACTTATTTTGGTTGAAATAGCACGGAAAAGTGAAAAATCTGCTCTTTTTAAAAGAAATTGAATAAATTAATCTGTAAAATGTTTGAAATCTGGACATTAAAATGAATAATCCCAAAATCATACCTAGGTGAACATTGTGTTGGTTTTGGTCTGCCTTTTGTGTTGGCCTCCCAAACACTATTGACAGTACTATTTCCTATTGACACCATAACTTTTACAATGTCATTTCTGTAGACAGAAATAAAGATGATAGGAATGATAAAAGTTTACAATGGTTTTGCACTTTTTAAACAATCTGTATATTGAAGTGTTTTTTAATGAATTGTGTGGATAAATCCAAAAATGTTTTAATCAAACGTAAAATATTTTATAATCACAACAAATATCTCAAATTAATATAGAGATAAAAGGTTTTAGTACAATTATCTAGAAAAAGAACTGTTCTGCTTTTAGATATCTAAAGAATGCTAAATTTCTAGTTTGGACATTTAAAAAAAGTACTTTGTTAAATAAAAGTAACATATTGTTAATAGATTACAATTATTTTTCGATTGACTTAAAATTAAGTGTTAATTACAGTGAATACATTTCATTACAATCGATTTAAAACAATGATGTTCTTACTATTATGAAATAAATAATGAAACTTACGGCCACTCATCAAGATCTAGAGATCGAACTCGAGATATGTGTGTCCCTAAATTTCTGTGAATGCCTGAACATTCAATACAGACCAGAGCTCCAAGGTTTATGCTTGCCCAATCAGGACCTGAAAGGAAACAAAATTTTATAATTACGAGTTTCTATTTTAGGTATCGAAGAATTACGAGTATCGAGTTTCTAAAGTCTCATTAATAAAGGAAAAAGGTATGAAAAGTTCTAAAAAAGACATCTGGGATATCATACTAAATATACTCACTAGGGGAAGAACAATCAGCACAAGCATTATTGCCTCTAGCACATCGAATGGCCTGAATACCCGCAGGGTCTGAATTATTTTGTTTCTGTCAACAATCAATAGTAATGATTAAGTTTCAATCCAAAAGATGAATTTTCAGCATCACGAGTAGAACATTAATAGATCCTAAGACTTTCCTTTTAGCTGACACAGCTTTCAGATATAGCTAGAGTTTAAAATATGTTGAACAAAACTATCAATTAGCTAAGGTCTCATTCAAATGGAAACACTTATTTCTATTTTAAATTCACTTACTTTATTTTTGCCTGCATCATTGGCTTGAAGACTAGACAGAATTTGCTGTTCTATTGCATCTACCCAACAATCACGTTCCTGTGGAATCGTCAAATGTTAGAACGGAGATGCTTTTTTTGTAAAATGGACTATTTTGTTTTCTTGTGGAAAACTTGTATAGACATTTTAATAAACAATTTAAGCTCTCCAAAGTTATGATCATTTAAATTTTTTTTTAATCATCACTATTCAATATTCAGTTCTCAATACTTACTTCACCACTAAGTGCCTCAAAGTGCCATTGTTTATTCTCTAGTGAAACAATTACAAATTCATAACCATCAGAGTCTGAAATATTTTTAAAAAAAAGCTTTGCTCATAATCAGAAGATACTCTGCTGTAAGTAGAAAAATATATCTTTAAAAATCTACTGCTATCAAAAACATTTAAAATGTTTTTCATTTTAATTTGTGTATTTGTATCCATGAAGATTTAAACTAACGTAGGTGTTATTTTCATGATAATTCAAATGCCATGCATTACACTGCTGAACTGATTTGATTTACAACCAATAATTTTACTTATTGCTTTGAAGATAATTTCTAAGATACATTTGTATTGACTACAGTTGTAATCGTTATCTGCTAAGGATGATTTTAGATCAATTATGCACTAACCATCCCCATCACCAGGATTCGAGTTTTTTATTCCTCCACTTTTTGCTCGGCGATGTCTTTTCTTTACATTTGGTGTGTCCCTACTTGAACTATTGATGCCAAGCTTGGGCAACATAGGGGAACGTTCAGGACGTGTCCGTGGTTGGTCAGGGATAACTGGTAAAAAAAATCAAATTGCATTTTTTTAAAATTAAAGTCTGAACACAAAAGGAAAAAATAACATTGATAAAAAGATCACTTGACAAAAATCATGTAAATCCTGATGGGGGTTTGTGTTGATAATGACTTAAAGTCATGATTCAGAAAGAACAAGTGCCACTAACAAGCAACTGTGTGCGTTCTCACTTACTTCTTTGTTGAACCTTTTTCCACTTTTAGAATGAGACAAATTACCATTATAAATTCCAGGAGCCACCCAACCCCTTTTAAATCATCTTAAGCACATGATGCTATAATTATATGAAGAAGATTATTTACCTGGAGTAATCGAAGAATTAGGTATAACAAGTGAGTTATCTATCTGACTATCACCTGATACATCAAATGCTGAAAATTAAAACAAGATGGCAGTTTTTAATCAAGTAAACATAAAACTCCAATGGAATTAAACATTGTTATTAATGAGTAACAGCTACAAACTATAAAATAAAAATGAGAAGAGCAAGTAATTACTGGATAATTTAATGACTTGGAATAATGTCTATTTCCAAAAAAAAAATCAATATACATGTGTAATATTGTGGCTCTAACCTATTGAGTTATTCATGTCTCCATTAGGTGCATTGCCTGTTGAGACAGTCCTGGAGCCTCTTGGCCTCATGCCTGGAATTTTTACTGTTGTTTTCACCAAAGGAATTTCTTTGGCATGTGTATCTTCCATATAATCCTGAAGCAGAGTAAAGGAAACAAAACTTAAAAACTATAATGAAATGAAATGCCAGTTGGATACTGCAACATAATTCACTTATCTGAAATGTCCATTTAAGAGGATATTCAAACGCATATTAATGTGTTCACTTGTGTAAGACAGGACTTCATATTAAACTTAAATTAAGTGATCCTACCAGGATTTTTACCAGGAACACTTTAATGACACATTTATATATAGCTGCAGCATTATTTCCTTCTACTCACATGTAAGCTTGAGTGGTACACCAATCTCCCATCATCAGATAATGCCACATACTTCTTCTTCCACTCTTTATTAAGTCCATGGCTTTTCTTGTACAAGTAGCCCTAAGAATTAGACAACAAGTAATGATGTTTCTATTTGCCATTTAATTGAAGTTTGAATATTTTAATGTAGCAATGAAATCTTTTACATTACACTGAGCTGCTAATCTCTTTTATTTTTAATGAAAACAATACATAAATATATATATATTATGTGATTAACACACCTGTTTTAGTGGGATTGTTCTGCCACTTCCAACCTTTTCTCCATCACCTGCTTGCTTTTTTTCTTCTTCTTTAGACTTTGGCTGAATAAGTTTGTTAAAGTAGTGACTAATACAAAAATTCAAAATGATTTCTTTTTTTAAAAAACTGGTAACAATGTTTTCCAAGCATAGACTCTTGATAACAAATTTCAATTTGCTTCGATGCTTTAAAAAAATATACAGTGTTTATTAGTTGTAATATATAAACTTTGATGAATCAAATTTTAACAAGGTTATATGAATCTTAGGATAATCTAAAATTCATCCCTTTCACAGAATCTGTCCAATTTTGAATATATGGCTTGATGATATTACACCATTTAAAATGTATTTTAAAATATTTTAAAATATTGCAGATATTTAATGCTTTATGAATGGGCTAAAAATTTTTAAAATATAGATATTTTTAATGAAAGGTACTTACATTGAATAGATTTGACCGCCGTCTATTTTTCCTGCTTTGAGTAGGTGTAGAGCTTGGCGTAGGCAGATCTTTTCCTTCTGTTGGTTTATCCTGAAAGATTAGATTGGGGCAGACAAGTTAGTAGTGTGCCTACTTGTCATATCTTGAAAAATCATAAATGAAACGATAGCCCCTTCCTTCTGCTTAAAATGAATACATTTATATGAAAGGAAAAAAACACTTCAATTCCATTTGATAAGCTTAAGGTCTTTTTTTGCACTAATGGTTTATAACAATGACTTACTTCTTTTATATTTAAGAATATATAAATGCATTTATTTTCTTCACCAAAAAAATCAAAATAAACAAGAGATGTGACCTTTATGATCATAGACATTTTATGGTTAAATTGATTTTTAAAGATATACATAATATTGTTTCTAAATGATAAGGGTACTTAAAATCTCTTTAATAGCCTGATAATATTTTTTAAGTATCCCATTTCTAAAGATTCCATTTAAAAACAATAAGACTTATGCCTTAGAAAAATAAATAGCAACATTTCACTGAAAGCCAACATTAAGAAATGTCTTGCTGATAAAATTAGCATATGAGGCTCAATGTATCACTAAGTTCTCATTTGATTTGATATTAGTAGTCAGCATTGCTGTTTAAAATGTCTGAGCATGGGGGGAGTGTACAAATTAGACAATGTTATAGCATAACATTACAAAATAATGAGCAACTAAAACTGATAGAAGAATATGTAAAATGAATATATATGATTAATATGATAAATGAATGTGCCACGGATAATTTAACAATTAAACATAATTTAGGAAATATTTACTTTGAAAGATTTTGGCATTAAATTTTATTATTTTCAAATGTTGTTATAGCTTGTGACATAAAACTTTGGAAAGATACCATGAAAGCCATTCCAACTTTAAAAAGTTCACTTAGTGTTAAGCTATATGTTTAGGGAACAAAATTTATGATATAAGCATTTTTATTGTGGCTGAGAAATAAATTTGATACATAAATATAACTTAAAATTTCCATGTTTTATTTGGATTTTAAAGTATAGGTATCTATTATTTAACACTTAGTAACAGATGTATTCAACTACAAGAGTGAAAGATGTGCTGAATATATCTCATCATATAGCCTTTTAAAATTCATAATAGCATTGGAAATAAGTGTCAAAAGTTTCACAGAGCACACCTCACTGATTTCTAAAAGTAAATATTAAAAGGAAAAACACACAAATTATTGATGTTTAACACATTAAAACATAAGAAAGAAAGAACATTTAAATATGATCAAATTGTAACATCTGGTAAATTTTATATTAGCCTTTACTTTTGCAAATAATACAGAACTTGAATAATCTGAGTAATGATGATAAAATATTGACAGTGCATGATCAGTTTCTGCATTTTAAGAGTGGTTTATGAGTTTGTTAGTTACATGTGAGATCCAAGTAAATAATAAATGTGGCATGCTTAGTCAGCTGCTAGAGAATACTGTTTACATATTTATACATGGGACAAATAACACAGGAGAAGAATGAATAAATCAATACATTTCTTTCCCAGTTTTAAATATAGAATCTTGCTTTACCCTATAATATGACTCAGTCAGGTGATCAAAATAATCTAAAATTACCTCTAAAATTTCCCTCCAGTCATAAAAAATTATTTATAATATAAGGGAGATTTTACCAAAGTTACATATGCCTAAATATCTATTCCAATTAGGGTTATACAAACTTTCTATGAACTGTTAGTTTGAAGCAAATCACAGGACTATGCTTTAAAACACACCAATTTTATTTGCACTTACCATTTACAAACTAATGGGTAAGAATTAAGATTTGCATTACTTTCTTGAGGTGCTGTTGTATTCAACAGATGAAATAATTCTTTAAGTGAACATTTCTTTTATATTCAGGGTTCAATTATGTCACTTTTAATGGTTATAAAATGATGATTGGTCTAAATAAGGTAGAAAATTTACACTAGTTTTGTAATTATAAAAAGAAACACATTTTTTCACAGTGAACAAGGTATGATCAGATACGTCAAGGTATGCACAAATTTTAAAACTATTAATAAATTATCTGAGTAGAATCTTAAAAGGGTAACTATTTTTAGAGATTACAGACCATTCAAGATATATCTATTATAAATAATAAAAATAATAAAGATCAGCTACTGTAGATATTGTTAGCAGAAAAAAAAAAGATTTGTAATGCTTAAGTTCATTACTAAAGAAATGAAATATTGTTATTGAATATGTGTGATGAATTACAATTTTTTTGGGGTTATATTTCCCATTTGTGTTTATATATGATGCAATTCATCTTACAAATGATTATATAAATTGAATTAAATATGTTTGAAACATTATGTCGCCAGGAAGAATTGTATCTCCACCTTTTTTAGGACAATGTCACTTCCATTACTGAACATAACTTAGTCACTGACTGTATTATATTCCTTTCACTAAACCACAGATTGCAGAAAGTAATTAAAACTCTGTATATATTGAAAAATAATGGAAAACCAAAAAATAAATAAACTGGTGTTGAAATTATATTTTTCCTGTCTTGACTTGTAAATGCAACCATAAAGATTGGAAATTTGACATTTATTATTTTATATCAAATTGAATGCACTGCACTGGTAATTAAAACCTATAACATTTCCTAGAAATGCTTATTAGTATAATTATCTGTATGAGTGTATGCTGTTAGAGATCTCAGAGGTATTAAATAAATACAGAAAACTACACAAGGAGAGGAAGGTAGCCAACTAAAGATAAGCACATGGGGTATATTTTGAAGCTGACTGAAACAAAACTAGGTAACACACTGAGCGCAGTAATAGGATATAAATCTCTTTTCATAATAATGTTATTTGAATAGGAATTTACTTTTAAAACTTTGAAAAAAGAAATGAAGGAAAGCTGGAACATCTGATTGTAACAATGACTTTTAACTGCATAATTCCATTTAAGACTTTACATCTTTTATTGACATTTATATCATAAACTAACTTAAAAACCAGTACCATATTCAAGTGTTTAGTTTGTGTTCACTTATTTTTACAATTCAAATTTAACAAAATGTTATGAACAGGAAGAATTCAAAACTACATTTTGCAAAAGAGCAGACTTACATTGAAAGAATTTGACTTTTTAACGGAGAATTTTTTGTTTTTACGCAAGGCAAGTGGTGTGCAAGTGACAGTTTCCTCCAGAAGATTATCAAATCCCTAAGGGGAAAACAAATAAAACATGGTGCATGCTCAACAAAAATAAACTACAAGGCAATAAAGATTAAGGGAAGAAGATAATTTTTTTTTTTTAAAGTTTAAATTTACACCAGAAGTTAATAATGTTAGGCTGGTTCTTTTTAACCTGTCACAGGTTGCAGATTCTGGCTTAGGGTACTACAGATGATAACTGTGTACCTTCATCATTCACATAGTGATATGGGAACAGTGAGTGGCATCTCCCGATTGCATTCAAGCTAACTTTGGTGATGTAATAATCAGGCTTTCCAATGAAGTTTTTTTCCTCTCCTGGCAGTTGTTTAAAACTTCAACATCAAACATATTAATTTATTAACCATTGGTACCAAAAACAAATATTCACCAAAAATATTTTAATACAATCAAGCTTTAAGTTCCTGAATCTGCACATTTAAACAACTCAGAATCACAGGATTCCATTACAGTTTTTACAACTTATATTAAGGACTTAGATTAATCATGAATTTGTACTTGGTGAAATGCAAGTAGAAGTTTAATTATCATACTGTATAAGTTTCCTTGTCAATTTGTTGTGGTTTTTATTGCATGTAGGGATTATTAATTAATTTTCCCAGCATATTTGATTTTTATTTTTCAAACTGACTGCTCTTATTGATTTAGTTAGGTAACTAAATATAAGGCTTATAGATACTATTTATTACCTTGGTAATGTGTCTCTCAAAGGATTCCCATTTGGAAAATGGGGAAAAAAATTGCAGGTATCGTGTATTTTTTATAAAAAGTAATCTTTTGAAAATACCCGTAATTTTATAGTTATTAATAAGCCTTGACTCAATTTTCATTGATATTTATCCCGGTTATTGAGCGTAGTGTGGTAACAGCTAACGTTAATATTTTTAAAAGTTGTATTCTTCGCCACAAGACTAACGTCAGAAATAGATTGGTGCAATTTTTTTTTTACATCAACATAATCGCAATCAATGCTCTGCAGAGGGCACTTCATTTTAAAATGGTCAGTACTATGTGGACAAGAATTATTAGGTCAAGAAAACAAACAAAAAAACTTCATTTAAATGTTAATAATGAAAAGTTGTTATCAGACTGGATCGAACTAGAGCTGATGGAGAAAAAATTAAATCCATGAGTGAGAATTAAATGTATTTCAAAAAATCTGAGAATAGCACTCATCTAAGGTGCTTTGCAAGGTCAACCCCACATAATTAATCTTTGCTCTCTTAATAACATTGCTGTCTTTGAAATCTACCAGAGATGAGATCTATTATCTCTTCATTAAATGAGTTCTTTCTAAATAACAATTAGCTTTTGTAACACACTCACATTTTACCTCTTTCTTTCAACATTCAGAAAACTAATGTAGCTTGAACATAGAAAAAAAACATGCAAAGTAGAAGCCACATTTGACTAAGCCTTTTATTGGTAATGTCATTTGCTTTCTTTCTTTTTTTTTTATATCACTAAATTCCAAACTTGAAATAAAGAAATGCATAAGTTATTTGTTGTGTGGAACATTGGCCACTTCCCTTCATAGATTCATTTAAAGTCACATAAGAGAATAAATAATTATTTTCTAATTACACTGCAAACTGCACAAAGCACTAAAGATAAATGATAAATTCATGAAGTTTGTCTATGGGAAAATATCTTCTACATTTCACCAAGTAGCCAATATCTATATATTTAAAAGGTATATCAAGTATTATTACAACGGAAGTTATTGATACATTAATACAAACATGTTTTCTACACACAAAAAAAAAGAAAACAAATTGTAAAAATAATAATAATAAAAATACTGAACATCAGTTTGATGCAAAGTCCAGCAAACAAAGTGTCTCAAATTTAAAATTACATAAAATATGTGTCTAGAGTAGAATGGCATATTTTTATAAGATGACTGACTCATTGTACTGACATACTAAGATTTTTGTGATTTTTTTCTAAATTACTCTCCTAAGTACAACTATCCTGCATTTTACATTGAAACATGCCTTGCAATTCAAATATATATAATAATAATATCTAAATATTGAGGCATTATGCACTAACAAACTAAAACATTTACTTTTTATACATGACAGAGGTCAAAAAACAAATCTTACATATAATTTACTGCCCCAAGTTTTAAATTCTATATAAATAGAGGTAAAAAAAAAATCATGAATCCAACAATATTCTTTTCATATATATTTAGCCCCAGGCTACAATCACTATTTCAATGACATTTTCAACTGACATGCAAGACTGATTTTTCAGAAGAAATTTGTCTGACGTGCTTACATTGCAACTGATGTCATCCAATTTTAATGAAATTATGGAATTAACACTCAAATCGACCCAACATCTTTTTTTCAAAGCATCATTTGGAAAATTATGCCCAAAAAAAATAATAATTTGATTCCGAACAAATATTTTTTGGTACCTGCCCGCAAACCAGTGAATTTGACTCAGCTACTGTGAGCATCAGCAATTTGTTCTACCGAATTCAGTCTCGTATGTCGGTCTAAAATTTCAGAGTAATACATGTCACACATGATTATAGCCTAAGCCCTTCAATGATCTTTTTCTTATATTTTAACAAATTTAGTAAATTATTCAAATTCCCTTCACGTACACGTAAATGAGAAATTCAAGTCAAGACCTTTGACAGCATTAAGAATTGAAAGGGGATTATGTTGGTAATAAATCTAAAGACTGGTTGAATTTCTATAAAACTTTTTAAAACTCTTTTTTCAAAGTGATTAGCACAATACAAATGTATTTACCTTTTCAACTCACTCAACAGACTTTAACATTCATGGCAACATAAGTTGTGCATACCGAAGAGATCACAAGCATACTTTTTTAATGCAAACTTTTCAATTGTTTGCATTAAACTTTGTTTTAAAACTTTAACCCTATAACTATAGATGAATTTTTATGAACTGTCAAGCCAATTTTAGCAATTTAATTAATTTGTCAAAAATGACTAACATTGCAACCTAAATGAATTCAGAGACCCTTACAAGCATACATTTTCTGAAAGTACATTGGACAAGGTATCTTATGATATGAAACGAACAAATTTGTTTTTATCTGAAGTATGTTGATATTGATTGACCTTTACAGAGTGAGTAAAATTTTAGTACTTAACTTCTGAAATCAACCCACTCTAAATACTCCATAAATTGTTCAAACTATCATAAAATCATGCTTTTGAGATACTAAAAGCAATATTCGTTCAGAAAATGTCACGTTGTAATTACTTATATTGAAAATTGTGATATTAGTGTATTTTTTCATCCCCCCCACCATCAATTTCTGTCACACAAAATACAATGGGGAAAGGCACAAAATGAGTTCGAAAGTTCATTTTCAATTGAAATTATTAAATCCATTTTTTATTAATTAATATTTTAGAACACACACAATCATAAATGTCTTTGGGGTACGTCTTTGGGATCCAATATGTGTCATTTTCTGTTCAATCTCCAACCTTTCCCAAATGAATTAGTGTGTAAAAATATGACTAAGCTTAGGGATAATAATGTCATTACTATCACATGGAATATCTGTGAAATCATTGCTTTCATTAAAATAATAAAAATAATTCCAATAAAGAAATTCTGTGTTGATTTGCAAGAGGGGGGGGGGGGGTGTTTCCCATGTCTCAGACATTATGCTGTCAAAGTATGTGAGAAAATTTCACACCAAAGTCCTTAAAAAGAGCATGTAAACACAGAGATAGTAACGGAAGTAGGAAGCAAACTCGTTTAGATAGAGTAATTTCCCCTTAAACAATATACATTTAATCTTGTGCATTTTTAATGAAGATTTTGCTAGCGGTCGATTATATGGGCCATGACACCACAGAAAGGGGTATAATGAATGATGAATGGCCGTAATGACAATTTTAGGGTTAGTGTCTTTCACCAAAGCCATTATCAAATATGAGTTTTTGAAAAATGTATCTAACTTTATTAACCATCACATTCTCACAGAAACAGTTTTAAAAGTATCACAGTTTTTAAAGTATGTAGTTTGAGACATTTGTTTGTTTACAGAAAAAAAAAATTGTAGATATTAAAATTTCAAAATGACTAATGCCAATAGATTAGAGAGATAAAACTTGTTGAAAACAGACAACGAAATCATCCAAAATGTACTAAGAAAAATGCACTTTAATGGAATAAAAACATTCAGTTAGGCCTTACTGCACTGATTCATAGAAAATAACAAGGCAGGAAACAGTCAATGTTCACTGGTTTTATCTATTTTCAACACATTGTAAAATAAAACATATTTTGACTGATGCAGATATGTAGCAACACAACATTCATAGAAATAACTATTTGATAACATGCATTTAAAATAACATTTAACTCAGCGAAGCTAAACTAATTTTATAATATCAACTAATGAGGGAATGACAAGCTTTGTAAACAAACTAAATGTTTACTCTAATATTGCCATTTGTACATATTTAATTATTGACTAGATGAGGCCATGCGACTTAGATGGGCCATAGTCAATTAGAAACACAACAATTATGGTTTTTTATTTTGATTTGAAACAGTTTTGATAATATTAAAAATATCATCTAAATAGAAGGTTAATCAATTTTTTGCATCTGGCAGAAATGATTATCGGGCAGAATTGATTGGGAAGTGAAAACGAGAATTTTTATAAAATTCTCTACATAAAAATCAAAATTAAACATAAATGCTGGCATTTCCTTAAAAGGAATAGTGTGAATTATCTGTTGATACAATGAAAATATGACATTATCAGCCATTGATGGGAGAGATTCAGGTAAATTTAAAATATCTGAGAATGGAACACATTTTTGCTTATTCAAAGCTGATATTTCTTTCTAAATTTTACAGAGAAAAAAGAGCCGAGAGACATTTTTTCCTGGCCTACCTGAATATCATTTAGTTCTGTGAGTTGTGTGATGGGTACTGGTTGTGGGGGAGGTATGGCTGGCACCTGTGGAGGTTGTGTTGTTGGTGGGACTAAAACAGTTGCTTGAGCTACATGTGGAAGAGGCTTATCTTTTTTCTTCTCTGGTCTGTCAGTCTTGCCCTCTCTCACCTCCTTTTCTTTTGGTGGAGGAAGTGGAGGCTGTGGGTAAAAAGAAAGAAAAAACTTGAACACCTAAAAAAACTCTTTCATAAGCATATCATTATAAACAGCTTATTTCAGCTATAGGGTGCATTACACAGATGAAATAAGGTATTATTGTAAAAACAAATAATTAATTCTGTACACAATGAATAAAAATAGAAAAAGGACCACACATTGGCAAAAAGTTTGAGCTTGAGAAACCTGAATTCAATCAACTTAAAGACAATTTACTATCCCCATAAGCAGATGTTAATAAAAAATTGTCATCAAATGGACACCAGATTTGTGGACCAGACTGTGAAAATAGAATCTCTACTGATTATCTGCAATTTGTACTGTGCTAGACAACTTTCAAAGTGGAAAAATGAAATACCATATTTGCCAGCATATAGGACGCAGCAGCATATAAGTTTAGTTACTCACCCCCTTTTTTATGCATATTTTTAAGGAAAAACATTTCTACATTGCTGCCACATGAAAGCACCCCATATTTTAGGCGTATTTTGAGGAAAAAAGAGTGTCCTAAATGCCAGGAAAATACAGTAATTTAATTCTAACAAATAATTATTAAGTGTGTCCTGGATCTGGAGTACTTTTAGCAGAGCTTTCAAATGAGGGTTTTAAACTGAAAGTTCTATATTAATTGATAATTAAAATCATCATTTCATTTCCTTAAGAAAGTGTACTTACCTGTGAATGAGCAGTCACTAATGTACCAGAGCTACTTGTACTATGACTGCTAATGCTGTGAGTATCACTGGGTTTGTTACTGCTAGTTTGTGATATGTAAAATGACCTCTGTGAGTGATTTGGCGTTGATGGTATAACAGCTGGCACTGATGATGGAGCGTTAGGGTAGCGCATTTGAACAATGCGCTGACAGGCTAAGGAATCATCAGGAATAATTATTAAACATAAGATTGATAATTATACATATTAAAGTTTAAATTATCTTATAAACATTGGACTGTCATAACTTTAGATTGCACCATATAGATACAAAGGTTTCATAAATCAACATTGCAATCTGTATTATAAAAACATATGTATAATTTAAAATTATGATTAAGCTTTGAGAGGAAAAATAAATTTCATGTCACTATTTACTAAACTATCTCCTCTCTGAGATAAGGTGCAGAAGTAAACAGTATGAACTATTTTATTTTCCCTCATGGAAAATGTAAGTAGCGATAAGCAACATGCAAATGATTTTCAAACTAACACTAAGAAGACCAGCAAATTAATACAAGAAAGTAACTAGATAATTTTGATTTACCGTCTTGAAAGACCCTTTCCACATTAAGCCCGTAAGTTGCACAGGTTTCATAATATGAGCACCGCTTTAGATCATTGGCCAGTTTTCTAGCTCTTGTATCATCAATAATGCGGGGATTGCTTTCACTGATGGCATCTGAACATACAACAAACAGTATAAGACAATTACAATTATTGCAGTTGGCATATTATATCTTAATAAAAATTATAAAAAACAGTGGCTATTCAAAATTTAGTTGTGAAATTATAGTATCCCATCTCCTCTGAACTCCTTTAAAAGGGTGTTTATTAAAAAGGAATAAGCCAATATTGATAACAGAACAGCATGTGAGAGAGAGACATTGAAATTAACAAACCTTGAGTCCCTACAAGTATAAGAGGGATCTCTTTTGTATCCCTGTATTGTCTCATTTTGGCATAATGGCTGTGGACTGCTTGAAAGCTCATCTCATTCTCCAGACTAAACACAAAGATTACAGCATCTACCCAGTGGGTAAACTGAAAAATAAATTCAATACAGATTTAATAACTAAAATTGGTACAGTGAAACATTTAGAATTTGGTACAGTGAAACATTTAGAATTTGGTAGGGATATACTAGTAGTAAACATCAAGCGTAATGAAAAGCTGGGTAAATTTTTTTGTAAATTTAAAAAATGAAAGTAGGTACCTGCATTTCTGGAGTTCCACCTTCATCCCTAATCAAGAGAAGATAACTCTGTCCCTCTATAATTACTTCTTTCTTAAAACGACCACCTGATGAACATTAAAAAAAATCAGCATCACTAACTATTTTTTGTATATTGTAGTGTTGATTGCATATCAAATACTGAACTATTATTTAAAAATAAAAGCACAAAAGAAAATTAAGAAGAATGGCAGAAAAATATTAGCTTAATTTACCTTCAGGTGATTCTTCCTGCATGTAAGAGCCTGTAAGATAGCGATGAACTAAGGCAGACTTGCCACTTTGAACACTTCCCAGGATACCCTTGAATAATTTTAAAAACATTTTGTTAAATAATGGTCTTTAAAATTTCAAATATTATAATCTTTATCATACAGTATATTGTTATTTAAAGAATTATTTCTCTCAAACATTTGTTTAAACTTCCAATACAGTTAATTGCATTTAAGTTAAAATATTGATAAATTTACTGCTCTAAGAGTTATTTAATGTTTGATTTTTATTTTATTTTTTTACTATACAAGATTTTATGCTCAACTAGAGCAGGCCTCCACAACTCAAAATGTAAGGCAGGCCATAAAACTTTATGAAAAACTTGTGCGTGCCAAAAGATAATAGGACAGGGAAGAAAGCTATCAAGAAAATAAGAAGAATAAAGAATATTTCGTTACTTCACGGGCCGTAAAGTAGGTGCTGGTGGGTGGGCTGCATGTTGTTCAGGCCTGAACTAGAGCAATTTATCTTTTTTTCAATTTCAAGGAGGGAGTGGTGGAGATTGTTGTTGGCAGGAAAGATATTTGAAGATTATAAGGACATATAGTTTCTAGGACAGAAGCTTACAAAGGGGTGGAGAGTAGGGGTGTGCCGGATCCGTTTTTTCCAACCGGATCCGGATCCGGATTTTCTTATGCGAAATCCGCCGGATCCGGATTCCGGTTTCTCCCGGATTCCGGATTTTGGTACTATTGGTAGATACTTCGGTAAGTCAAGGTGGACTACTACTTTTTGTGTATGGGAATTCGCAATCGGCGCCAAAAAATCCGAGTTTTTAATTTTCCGATGTGTGTGTCTATTTATTATTAAATTAGTACTTTCGATATATATTTGAGTTCCGTTCCATTTGGATAAGTGTCTTACGAGAGACGCCATGTTTCTACGCGTTCGCAGCAGGTCATGCAGCTCGCTCAACCTAATTTCGCCATGGGGTTGGCCACGCCCCCCTTTTTAATGGCGGAAGTTGACGATACTTAGGAAATATTAATTTATTATCACTATTTACATCAAAATAATTGATAACTTGTGTTTCAGAATGCATTTAAAGACATTTAAACTGGAATGTTTTAATTTGAGCTTTAACAACCCGGTAGAATCCATATTATAAATGATCAGAATTTACCGTGTGCAACACGTTGTCATTGGCAACCATTCACAGCCACTTGCATAACTGTATCGTAGTACTACCTCAGAGTTTCATTCATAAGAGTTTGCCGTGTGCAAAAACTATTAAACCATTGGTCAGGGAAAGCTTTAATTAATTATTCATGTGCCAAAGTTGAAAGTTTAAACTAAGTCTAAACAGTATTTTAGTGATAAGGCAGGGAATGCGTTGCCTTATATAAACTATATAGTCATTGCGCATGACGGGATTGGTGGAATGAGATCACAGAATGTGGAGATGCAGTCCATGTTAAAAAATGACAAACCAAGTCGTACTTTAAAAATTCATAACTTTAAAACTACAACAGCTAAAAATATGATTTTGGTGTTATAATTCTTTAAAAAATTACATCTTTTCAACTATGCCATTGGTTTATTTTTACAAAAAGTTTAAATTTTCTTATCAAAGTCCCTACACTATTGGCCACTATTAGCGGTGCTGACTCTAGCCTCTGGTATGTACGGAATATTAAACATTAAACAAGCTCAACGCTCGAAACAATCGATTAATGTATCGTGATCGTGTGAAATTCGGGAAAGAGAATTACTTTTATTTCAGATTATGATCCGGTGAGTCACAAAATCTGGCAAATTCCGAAATCCGGTATATTCCGGATTCCGGAATCCGGTTGTTCCGGATACATGTAAATCCGGCGGAACCGGATTTCACCGGATAGTGCAAAATCCGGCGGAACCGGATTCCGGACCGGGGTCCGGCACACCCCTAGTGGAGAGGCCAGTCTGCACTGGGTGTGACCTTTTTTTTAAATGGAGGGGTGGTATTTAGGCCAACTGCTTTTTTTCATGGTGGTGGGGGAAGGAGAAGATATCTATGACCGCTCTGGGCATTACTAACCCTAGTCACTCCACTACTCTGGGATATAGAAAATGTAATAATGTGTGGGGGTTAATACAGGATAATTTTTAAAGTTAGCCACCTATACTATTTGTCAGAATTAGTAATGCAAATATAAATATATTTTACATGTTTTATCTTTCAAAATGTTGTGTCTTAAGGCGTGAAAATAAAAAAATTAAAAAGGCAACAAAATTAAAATTTTATCTTCTTGATGTCAGCATGGAGACCACTTTTTTCCTCCCTAGGAGGGGGGTGGTGGGGGGCGGTATCCCCGAGCGGAACAAAATAATTATGTCACAAAGTACATTATACAAACTGAAAGGGTAATACTATGGTGGATTACAGTGTGTTGTCAACAGGCTAAATATTACTGTAGCAATATCTAGCGAGTACTTTGTGAAAACCAAAGCAATATTATGACGCTAACTATGAAATACTGTGATGATCTTTTTCATAGCCTTTTTTTTTTAAAATTAGAAATCATCATTGATTTCACAGATTTTTAAGGGGCAGTTAGCTTTCCAAATTACAGGAAAATCATTGGAGATGTTGTGCATAACATAAATGCATATACTTTTTGACAAGTTAGATCATCACCTCGTCATATGCACCAGTATGCAAAATCTCCAAAATGAAAACCCCAGACCCCTCAGTGCATACATAAAATATAGATTGCATCCAGGTCAGCAAAAATGAAATTTAGATTTACTTCCAAATATATCAATACAATCAATCCTGTACTTTAAAAGAATAATGAAATGTAAATCCATTATTAGATGGTGGACCTGATTTTATCGGTGGGCCATATTTTGCTGACACACTTAAAAATCATAATAATGTTAATGAGAAATTTTGTCACAACAGATATAATTTAAGACACCAACTTGAAATTGGACTGGCCATAACAACTAATATTACTTTTGGTTTTATTGACTTTTATTTTACAAAAACATACTTAATCAACACTGTTTAATAACAATGTTTTAATTATACTTTATATTATTTATGCATCCATTGAAATGGAAGTTAAGATTTAGTTAATTATCCTTATCTTTAAGTCTGGCCTTCAATAAAGCGACCTACCAATTTCAAATCTGGTACTGATCGACTTAATGTCCATTCTTGACTGTTCACAAATGAATCTGAAATAATAACAAATACTGAAAATTTGTGCAAAACCTAGTAAAAAAATTAATATTTAAATGTTATTTAAAATTATAATGCTTTATATTTAGTTCCATGTAATTGAATCCATTTTAAATCATATACTTATTGTCTGAGCACAGAGCCATAATCAACTATTTTAAATCTATGCTCTTATGATACAGCTACCCTTCAAATGTGTTAATTTATATAATATAATTAAAACATCCCATACCTAAGGGCTGAATAGGCTCAGTATTAATAATTAATATAAGTTTGACTGAACACAAAAAAAAGTCAAATTAAGAAAATTTAATAAATTTATCAACATGAGATGATAATGCATTATATCTGTCTAGAAAATGCTGATACATATTAAAGAAAGCGTTTTAACTTTACTACCATATATACTAGTTTTAAAGCCTGTTGCCTACCCCCATAATTTTGTTCAGGAAAACAGCATAATCCATGCATAAACCAATCCGATAATATAATATTAATATGCTATTGCCACTATTGCTAGCGTCAGTTTAAATAATGCTATATACTATATGATACAAACAAAGAAAGAAAATTACATCCAGGCTTTTTAAAATAATTATAGAGGAGGTAAGAAACAGAGATTTTCAATTTTGTGGCAGAGGCTACTGGCAGAGGTAGTACAATAATTAATAATTTGAAGAAATTATTGAATAGCATAGCCAAGCCCAATAAGTCTAGAATTAATAGGGCTAGAACTAGTAATTTTACTAAACTTACTACAACACTACTAGTACTGAGTAGGCTAATTAGTAATTAATCTTAGAAAGCTAGACAGTACTTGTTGTTTAAGACTGACTCAGTCTCAGTCATCAAGAACTGTGAGTTGTGAGTACAATTGCTATACTATTACTATTACTATTAATACTATTACCATGGACCATGGACATGGACATCATTCATGATTCATGATGTAGGAAAAAATTAGTAACTTTGGCCTACTTGTTAGTAGTGTTAAACTATTTGTTAACTGTTACCACTGTTAGTAAGTAATAGTACTAATAGTAGTAATAGTAAGATCTTAGTGTTTCTTGAATTCGTATCTTAGTCACTCAAATAACTTAGTTGCTTATTTATGACCTAGGCCTAGGCTATATGTTTAATTGAATATTTTAATTAATGAACATAATTTTAAAAATACAAAATAATCTACTGTAATTTATTTTAGATTGAATTTAACAGACACTGAATGACTCACCTTCAATACAAACTACGTGTTCTCTGATCTGTTGTTGAATCAGAGGGTCGGGGATAGCTTCAATTAGATCATAGATCGCATAAATGCTAGGATGGACACTTTCGAAGCGTTGAATTTCTTGCCGAATTGCAAGCGAATTACTCCAGTACGACTGCATCGGGCTCCGCGCATTCATTCTCATGATTCAGAAAACTCATCCTTTAATATAATCCTTCAAATCGAATATTATCAGAGTCAACTCTCATTTTGGAGTCTCATCCATAAAAATGGCCAGCCATGTAAATTTCACTCTTTGCGCATGCGTGAAAGGAAATGCCATTTCTAGCATTATTTTTTTTTCTCCCCTTCCAGATTGGGAGCCATCCCAAATAAGAGAAAAATTAAACATGGTTTGATTGAGTCGATAAATTGCGTTACAAAAACTTTAGGTCTATTAAGGGTGCTAAAGATAGATATTGTTATAAAGATAAATTTATGAAAAGAATATATGGGGCAAACTAATGTATAACTATCTTTTTTTAAATAATTGTGAATAGGATTAGACATAATTAATATAATAATAACGATCAGCGGTGTTACAAGGGAAGGTGCGGACCGCATTGGATGTCCCCAATAGAAGGTCCCAAAGGGTGGCATCCAACTTCATAAATATTGATCAACAAGTGTGTGTGTTGTTGTTGTTTTTCTTATTGCTTTTCTACTGTGTTTAGATAATTTGCTTGCAAAATTATTTTTAACAGGTCTAGACTTTGGGGGTGGAGGCACTTCATTTGGGTAGGGCAGGGGAGCATTCACACACCCCACACCCCCATCCCCCGCTTTGAACTGCAGATTTTATTTAAATTACTACGTACTGTAACACCTCGAGCAACTAAAAAAGTCGGGCAAATATTGGTGTTGCCCCTCCCCCTGAAAAAAAACAACTGATAGGCTGATAGGCCTATGACGTTCCTGAATGTGAGAACTCACCCAAGATTCCCGTACGTTCCGCAGGACTCGAGTCCTAATATCATAAACAAAACTACCTAGTCGACGTATTTTACACCTCTATATCATTTAAGTGTCTACTTTATATTAAAATTGGCATTACTCATTTATTTAAGGCTGCATCTATAGGTACCAAGGTACCTTTAATCACATATAACTATTCGCACCCGGAGTGGCTCCGAACAGATTAAATGGCTTCGGAGCCGAGTGTGATAACAATAGTAGTATGAGAATTTTTTTTTAATTGTTTTTTCTCCTTGTTATTTCATAGATTCATAGTTTTATTCTTTTTTGTTGGTTTTTTTTGCTATGTTAATTTCTCTTAGGACGGGTAGATTTTTTTTCTTTCCTATTTTCTTTTTTAGTTTAAGCCATAGTAGTTATTATCCTAGTGTCTCATTTTTATTTTACTTAGTTTACATGTTTTTAATAATTGTAAAGCGCTTAGAGCTTTAAGGTAAGCGCTATATAAAAATGCCTAAATAAATAAATAAATATCAAAGTAGATAGATCTATAAAATGTAAAAAAAATTATTTTAATCTAAATATATCCAATTGGGCAACTTTTATAACGTATCTTTGAATACAGAAGAGTTCTCCTTATTTTTCCCACAATGGCGTCGTAAATGACAAAAGATTCATGAACTGTAGGACTGTAGGCTACCTTTTTTTTTTATCTTGTTCAATTTTGTTAAATGGATATTGTACATGAACAAAAAGACGCTATTTTAGGCCTTTAGTTCCATCAGGTGAAGAGGAAGTTTTAATTTTATATCACTAGAAATAATTAATCTTTTTTTATCTTGTTCAATTTTGTTAAATGGATATTGTACATGAACAAAAAGACGCTATTTTAGGCCTTTAGTTCCATCAGGTGAAGAGGAAGTTTTAATTTTATATCACTAGAAATAATTAATCGTGTTTAAATGTCATTGCCTTAGGCCTTAGGCTTAGGCTTAGGCCTTCTTAACCCTTGGCCTTAATTTTACCTTACCACCCAGCGCATGTTTTTATATTGTTGCTTTACTTTTAACTTTTACTTTACCCTTTACAGTACTTTACTTTTCCTAATTTAGGCGTGCTAGAAGGCTGGCACATAATTCACATGTGGGGGGGGGGTGTTGGATTATTTTTATAACATGCTAATCAGTAGGGACCTCGGTATCGACCGGAAATACCCGAAAATCGGGTATCGTATTTTCGTTGTCATTTTGGCGACCTCTACTTTTTAATTTACTGAGGGTATCGTTGTTTCGCGTTTCATAATCGATATTTAGCATAATAATATAATTTTACTTCCGCCAATTACTTAAAGCCGACATCTTTCCTGTTATATTAAGAGTTCGTTTGATTTTTTGGGTCAAGATTAAAGCTTTGAAAATTGAAGTTAAAAATTGGTCAACTTCACTCAAGAATAACTTAATTTAAAAAATGCGCTCTTAAATAAAAATACTCCGCTCTTTTAGTTTATATGTTCATTTAAAACATATCCAAAATTCATGAGTGTAGACCATGGGTGGGCTTCAAAAACGAATTTCCAAGATGTCATTTTTTTAGGCTATGTAATTTGTCATCATGGCCACCGTGCTTGTCTGCTTATTTCCAATTATCGATAGCAGCCGTGGGGTAATTAATAATTCATTAAGTTGGTTATCCAGAGTGTAAATGGGAAATATAACTAATAATAAATCATTTTATATAAATAAAAAATGTTTTATAACATAAATAATTATTATTGGCTTATTGAATATCAGTGATTTTAATTTTTGGGTTGGTTGCCATGGACCTGGCTGACACTGACATGGGAATGATAAGCTCTTGTCTTTGACTTAGATAGTGATAGGCTTAGTTTAAGTATTATAATAGTATTTATACTATTATAAATGATTTAAGGAGTGGGATAAATAGCTTTTATTACAACTAATATATTTATCATTTATATTAGTTTATATATTTATAGATAAATATTTATTTGTATATATATAATATATATAATGACCATTAGGCATTAGGCTAGAGGCCTTGTATACATATAATATAGTATAATACAAAGTATACTATATCAGGGTTAAGGCCTAGACCCAACCCAACTAATTTGTAGGGCCTATTATAATAAATTATATTTAATGATATTTTAGGATATGTAATAAAATTTTAATGAATATTGTGATTCTTACTTAAGGCATAAACTAAGTAAAACATTTTGAAATATTCACTTACCTTTGGTATTGAAATATCCTATATTTAATCACATATCACAATATTCCACAAGAGAATTATTATATAATCCTCGGTTTCTCAAAGAAAAAACACACTTTCTGGCACTACAATCCAAGAATTACTTAAGATATAATAACCTGTACTTACCTCTAGTAAATGACTAGAACTTATTTTATTAACAGCTAAAGTCAAAGTTGATTCTAATAATACATGTGGATTTGTAAAACAAGATTACAAACTTAAAATAAATGACATGCTGATTGTTTTGTCATACTCATAGGAATAATATAATATATAGTATACATATGTAGAAAATGGTAAAATAAAAAGTGTAATTGTCAATTTTAAATAAATAAAACAAATAATCCCTTTATTATTTGTTTATGCTTATAAATGCTAAACAATTCCACAGAAAATCTGCAATTAATATATAAAGAATATTATTATTATTATGATTGTTGGGAAATTAAAAACAAAATTAAGACAAAATTTTAATTAATTAATTACAAATTAGTGATGAGTCAACATTTTTATACATTTTTAATAGGCAAATAATAAAGTTGTTTTTTTTAATATTTGCGGCACATTAACAAAAACTAATGTATATTTTGTGGCTTTATTTAGAAGTACTCTTATTTAACTATGTTCCCTGTAAATATTATATTTTTGTCTCATTTTATAATAAAGTTATAGGCGTTAAAAAAAAAAGCAAAATGAGGGTCACAAATGTGGAGGAAAATCCCTTAGTAAAAAAAGTGGTTTTGAGGTCCCTACTAAAAAATTCATAACTTTTGAACCACTTGAGCTAGAAAGTTGATCTTGGTGTTTTTGTAATCTATTCTCCAGGCTCTATACAACTGTAGTATTTTTATATTTTTAAAAATGTTTTGAAATTTTCATCAAAGTGGCTACTAATCAGTGTCATTAGTCCTCTCCATTTTCCTGTATGCCTGCGAATCATGGACATTAACAGCCGATCTTGAAAGGAAAATAAAGGTGATGGAGATGAGATGCTTCAGAAGCATTTTTGGCATCTGCTATAGGGACCATATCTCCAATGATACAGTGAAAGAAAGGGTTCATGGGCAATTGGGGAGTACGATGACCTACTGGTGTCTGTGAAAAAACGCAAACTACAATGGTACGGCCACGGTAACAAGGAAACAAGGGCTTGCCAAAGAAATATTGCAGGGGACCACAAGAGGAGGGAGAAGAAGAGGAAGACAAAGAAAAAGATGGGAGGATAACATCAAAGACTGGACAGGCCTAACACTGGGCGATGCAGTGGGTAGTGCTGAAGACGGAGAGGAATGGAGGAGGATGGTTCACATGTCATCTGTGACGCCCCAACGGTCCAAGGACTAAGGGACATGAGGATGAGGAGGATGGTTGTACGCCGAGACCCGCCAATTCTATGATTTTCAGAGACTCTGTGAAAAAATATTATGAAGAGTTTGATAGGCATCAGCATGATTATGATTATGGTAATTTTTCCGATAAAATAAAATACATTTTTGGTTGTTGAAGTTTTAGCACTTTCTAATAAAGATCTGGCAGTGAATGGACCAAGAAAAACAATTGGTTGTAATATTTTTTTAAAGTTTAGACAATCATATTTTATATTATATTATGTACGCACTGAGAGGGGAGGTGGGGGTTGTTGATTAAGTAGATTTTGCATATGAGACGCTTGGGGCTAATGTTAGTTGGGGATGCCACAACGTCTTTTTTCGGTGTTTACATGTGAGAGTCACTTCCCTTTGTTTATTTTTAGATAACTAATATTTTTATGTATTAGCATTAATTCGCCCGAGGAATGTTTAATATTATATTGTATTTGTTTCTTTTGGGTTTTTATTTTCATAATAAATGAAGAAAAGAAATATAATTTTTAAATATAGACATAAAATTTTATTTTATGTTCTATTTTGACAAAATTGTGAGAAATTATTTTTTTTTGTTGGGTACTTTATAATGATGCGGATATAGAAAGGAGTGCTTAAATATTACGTCTGTTGCTATTCTTGATTGCTTGACCGGGTGCCCGGTAGGTTCAAAATTGGTTGTTGTTTGTGTTTTTTTTTGCATCGTCAGC